CATTTTTGCTTCTCTGTATTACTTCATCCAATTCCTCTAATGTTGGTTCTTTTGAAATTTCGATGTCTACTTCATTTGCTTCTTCTTCGTGTACTGTTTCCTCCTCGTCATGCATTTCTTCTTCTGTTGTTTCCTCCGTCAAGAGCTCTCTGTAGTAATCTCTCCATACTTGCTTGTATACTTGGTCCTCTATTATCACTATTCCCTCTTTATTTTTTATTCCGTTTGTTTTGCCCTTGTATTTTTTGTTTTGTTTTTTAATCTTTTTGTAAAAACTTTTTGTATTTCTGTTTGTTCTTTCCTGCTCTATTTCCTGCATTTTTTGTCTACCCATCTTCTTTTATTTTGCCTTATCACTTTCTTAGCATACCTTCTTAATTTTTCATATTCTTCTCTGTCTTCCTCTTTATCTGTTCTTAGCCATTTATTTCTGGCTTGCACTTTTTTTTCTGTTATTTTTCTACATTCTTGGTTATACCATTCGTTTCTTGTTTTAGCCTGACTTTTACCTATCTGCATATTTGCACCTTCTTCTATTGATTTTTTGATCGTCTCCCATTCTGTGCTTATATTTTCTACTTTATATTTCTCTTTTATTTGAACTGTTACTGCCTCTTCATATTTTTTTCTTACTTCTTCATTACTCAATTTATTGACATTCCACTTTTTATGTTGGTTTTTTTGTTTTGTTTCAATTTTAACTTTTGTCTTAAAATGGCTGTGACCATGTAGTGGTCTGAATCTGCACACGCACCTCTGAACGTTCTTACATCTTTTATTGACGATTGTTTTCGTTTATTAATCATTATGTGATCAATTTGACTATATGTTTTCTGATCCGGTGACCTCCATGTTATCTTATGTATTTTAGGGTGTTCAAATTTTGTCGAGCTTATTAACAAATTTGTTCTTGTTGCTAGGTTACATAGTCTTTGCCCATTGTCATTCGTGTTTTCGTGTATTGTATGCTTTCCTACAATTTGCTGTGAAAAGTCCTCTTTTCCAATTTGGGCGTTGAGGTCTCCCAGGACAAATATGACATCTTCTTTGGGTATTTTTTCTATCTCCTCTTCGACCTTATCATAAAAGATTTCTTTTTCGTATGCATTGCTTGTTTCTGTGGGGGCGTATAAATTCAAGACTGATATATTAAATGGTTTCCTGTTGACTCTAACATACGCCATCCTTTCGCATATTGGCTTAAAACTTATAATTTTCTCTCTTAGGTGACTAAGTATCATGAATCCCACGCCTTTTCGCCCTTGCTTCTTTCCTCCTGAATATAACATTGTAAAGTCTTGTTTGTCAATCTGTCCCTGTCCCTCCCAGCGTAATTCTTGCAGTGCTGCAATATCTATTTTATACTTTTTGAGTTCCTTTCCTATTTCTAGCATTTTTCCTGGAGCTGGCATAGTTCTTATGTTCCATGTGCTTATTTTCAACTCTTTATTTTTTTTTTTCTGTTGTCTTCGTCCTTTATATTTGTTTTCTTGTCCATTTTTCTTTATTTCACTTTTGTTGTGCCCGGGTTTATCTGCAGTTATTTCCTGTTTCTTTGCCTCGTCCGTCAACGAATAATTTATCCTCTCATCCCTTGCTAGTTTTTTGAACCACCTCCATGATGGTCCTCCAGCTGGTTGGTGTTTCTATTCCATCTCCTTTCTAGACCATCTATTATAAGTTTGTTGGCTTTAATTTGGACACGTTTACCTTTCTTTATTTCATCTTTTGCTATTCTTCGTATTTCCCTCTGTATTTGTAATGGCATCTAATGATAGAAGAAATAAATCTAGCCAAGGAAAATGGAGTGATCATTTTGACCTTACCACCACATACTTTCAACAAGCTGCAACCATTAGATGTCTCGGTGTTTTTTTCGTTTAAATCATTCTACAAAACTGCCTTACAATCATGGGTTTTAGTGCACCCTGGGATACCTGTTTCTATTTTTGATATCGCTGGCTGTGTTGCTTATGCATTTGAAAAATCGGTAACGCCCGGTAATATCAAATCCGGATTTCGAAAAACTGGGATTTATCCCTTCGATAAATTCATATTTACAGATGACGATTTTGCAATTAGCAGCGTAACTGATAGGAATGGGGATCAAAACAATGAAGAAGCTCAACGACTTATGGATCCAAATCAACCATCAACATCAAGATGCATTGAAGAAAAAATAATGTCTCACTCCTTAGTTTCAGTATCAGTTAGTTTAAACACAACACCTACACAAAATCACAAAGAAACTTTCGTAAGTCCACAACAATTTAAAGGATACCCAAAAGCTGAAGAAGGAAAAAATCAGAGAAAGAAGAGAGAAAAAGCTAAAAGTATTATCGCCACGGACACTCCAGAATAGATCGCCCTAGAAGCTAAACAAATGGAGCGAGAAAGAAAAAAAAGTGTTAAGAAGAATAAGATCGTGAAAAGAAAAGTAATGACTGAAGACTCAACAGACGAAGAAAATGAAGACGCGGCGATGCTTGTAACCGAAAGTTCCGATGATGATATTGATTTTGTAGGAGAAATCGATCCACCACCACTTCTAGATAAGCTTAATAAAGAGCCAGAAGTTGGCGATTTTATTTTAATAGAATTTATGGACAAAAAGAAAAAAATTTATTACATAGCTGAAGTGTTCTGTAAAAAGAATAAGGAATGCGAGGTCAAATTTTTGAGAAAGTTCGTTAAGTATAATAACAGCTTCATTTCGAAATAGAAGACGTCTCATTGGTATGTTTGGAAAACATTAAGATGGTGTTTGTACAAAGCGGCAACAATCTTATTGAAGTTTGAAGTAAATTTTTCAGCTTTCGCACACAGAAAGAGCAAAACTGTTTTAGTCAAAAACGTTTTTGTTTCCACAAGAAACATTTTGTTTCCAAGAGAAACAATATGTTTGCACAAACCATACTGCAATCAGTTTTATTAAAGATGTCGACAGATAACGACGAAATTGCACTAGTTTTCTGGCAGTGGTTCCTCCTACAGGCAAAAACAAGCAGAATATCGCTGTTTCCACATGCGCTTCTTATTGACTACTCGAGCAATTTCAAGGAGGGAATTCCAAAAACACGTGCGCCTGCGTATATTGAAATTTTTCGACACAAAACGACGATCCGGTAATCAACATCAAACAGACTGAATGAAACTAAATGAGCCTAAACATGCTTTAGACACACGACTAATCAGTGTGCGTCAGCTCATTTCATTTATATGGAAACATCAGCATCAGACTCGTTTAGTCAAAAACCTTTTTGACTAAAACAGTTTTGCTGTTTCTGTATGCGGCCACCCTTAGAAGTTCGTTAAAACATTATTACCTTTTGTCTTATTGTGGAACATGCAGTGTCTGGATGTGGAACATGTGTGTTCCACTATCAGACAACTGTCCTTCCTTTGTTAAATAAACTTTTTTTAAATTAGTTTTTGGTTTATGATGTTTGTTCTACCATAAAAACTTATGTTTAGCCTTAATTTATTTTAGTGATAATCATATTTTGCTTGGTTCAATAAACCAGGTTAATACTTAGCAAAATCTATTTTGTGGCTGATTGTGGAACACTCTCCCCTATTTAAAAGTGATTTGAAGTGTGAGGTGTGAACGGCGCGGCGGACGAAAAGTTAATGACTCATGTATAATTCTTTCTAACAGGTAACTTTTTTCAAACAGCGTCTGTCTTTTGATTATAATTATCGCGACGTGTAGACATCATAACTGCCCACGCAATATGCATTTTCAGCAAATGCATTTTGCTAGGACAAAACTACATTAGCAACAAGGGACCTCTTAAGCGTCCCCTAAGACTGTCTTAAGCGGCCCCTAGACAGTCAATATTATTGTACCATATATTGTACAATAATATTAGTAGGCCAACACACGAATTAATATTATTTTACAATAAATTAGTTCCCGACTGAAACTTGAGCTATCAACATGTGAAATAAAAAAAACGGCGAGTTGTGTGGTTATCGCATTAGTTGTAGCTTCACAAGTGACAAAAAAAAAATAAGCGCAGGTGGATGAAAGAATGGTTCAAAAAAAGAAATAAGAACACTCATGAAAATTTATTAAATGATTTAAGAACCAAGTGATTTTCAAAACTTGTTGAAATAGTATTTGAATTATCACTGCCCACATTGTTTATATTATTATTTGCCTTTTCCTTATAATTATCCCCTTCTTGTATAGTACTTTTTGAAGCACTAGGTTTATCCTGACCAACAAGAAACTACATTTCGCTAAAATACCATAATGCAGCTAACTAAGATGAATATTAAGAAATAGCTTAACTTATGAACCATACAGATTACAATATGAAACTGTTAAGTCAGTTTTTATATATAAAATGTTGCAAGTATATATATATATATATATATATATATATATATATATATATATATATATATATATATATGTATATATATATATATATATATATATATATATATATATATATATACAGGAATATATAGGAATATACTCCCGCAAAAAGGAGTCCGACCGTCTATCCAATATATAATAAGGATCACTCAGACGAGTGGTGAATATTTGAACCCACCACTCGTCTGAGTGATCCTTATAATATATATATATATATTATATATATATATATATATATATATATATATATATATATATATATATATATATATATATATATATATATATATATATTATACACTTTTATACGCATGAGCCCTCTATCCAGGAACTTCTCATCTTGACCCTGTATAACCAATCTATGAATATATGAACCAAACATTATTCGCGAAAGAGATTGACTTAAATATAAATAGAGGTATTTTTACTAATATCTGTGGAAGTTATATCAATATTTTTATAAGATAACTCTTGCAGTTTACGCAAGTTATTGCGCAAGCCCCTTTTCATCGATTCAATTCATATGATTCAACTGACATTTCCGCCATTCAGCCCATATAAATAAGTTAAGACACAGCATTTTGTATTTTAATAATTATTGTATTGTAGAAAAATGTTTTCGGATCTAAAAAAATATTTAGTACTCTTTACTTTAATGTTATTTGTTGCTAGTGACAATATCGTTAGGGTTAAACGCAATGACATTGATCTGCCGACATGCATTGAGAAATTCAATGTACATAGAGATAAAATTATTAGAACGCAGGATTCCCAAAACATGGGGGCGAAATATTTAAACGAATTAGACTTGGGATCTAGGGAGGAATGTTTGCATCTGTGCTGTGAGACTGAGAATTGTGATGTTTTTGTTTTTGAAGAAAAGGTAAGTTGATTTTTTACTTGGTCATAATTTAAGACCCGGATTATAAGCATGGACAGAAATAGTAACCAGAAGTCAAAATAAACACTTATATAATCAAGAAATTTGTCAAAAATAAGCACAATATTCTTGCAATAAGGGAAGTTCTAGACAAAAAAATGCTATACCCTAAAAGTAAACATCGATATAAATCTGAATAAAACACATTAACATATTAAATTTATTTTTTATTTGGTAAACATTTGTAGGGAAGATAATAATTTCATATATAGGCCAGGGAAATAAGCAAAAAAAGTACCCTGTTTTTGACACTCGTCCGGCCAGGCAAACGACAGTTGTTTTGAGTAGTATGGACCTCTGTAACAAAAACCTATATGTTTCCTGCAGTCGATTTTTTGTACTTAATTAGTTATTAACAAATTAAAGTCAAAAAACGGAAAATTTTTGCTATTTTCGTCTATCAGCAAAAAGTGAAGCAATTTAAACAAATTTTAGAAGAAAGGAAACTTATAAGTTGTATAAACACCTTCAAAATGGCGTTTTCAAAATGTTTCTATCCTCATTTGTTGCTTAGAAAATTGCAAAATAAGTCAAACATTTCGGTTTTTTATAAATGTTAATAACTTTTTTGAAAATAAACTTTTAATATTTATATTTCACAGAATGATGTGTCTTGTAGTGCTTAAAATATTGTCAAAATTTCAAAGTGATCGGTCCAATAGTTTAAAAGTTATTTTATTTGTTTATCCCAAATTAACATTTTTTGCAACATTATAAGTCAGAAATTTATACAGTTTTAGTAATTGTAAGGGTTGTTTCTGGTAGAAGACTTGTTTTATTATTTACATTAAAAAAAAATTAAGAAAATTAATTTTAAATATTGCAAAATAATTTTGCAAAAACATGTCGATTTTTTGCTTATAAACAATTAGAATAATTTTTTAACTATTGATTGTAAAAATATTATTTTTACATATTTAAAAAGCTTGAATTTTTTCACAAATTTAAATAAAAAAAGTTTGTCCTAAAATAATTTGGTACAAAGTTAGCCTCTTTTTTTATTTAATTCATAGCACCTTTGTTTATAACATTTAAAAAATCTAATTAGCGCTATTTGAAAGAATGTACATTATAGTTTTAAAGTAATAAATTTTAAAATTATTGCCCTTTAATGGAATCGTCCACAAAGCTTCAAAATGTATGTAAAATCGGTCGGCTTTGAAACTCTCGGGAGCTGAAGGGAGGGGAAAGGCGCTGTTAACTGTATCTCTGTTCCTTTTTTATGTATTTCAACGTTTCTTTTTGAACTTGTATGTACTTTTTGCGTAGATTACGAATATGCATTATTTCAATAAAAAAATTGTCACATAAACCACCTAATTTGTATAAAAACAATTTTTTTTAATTTTTTTTGGTAGTTCATATTTAAGTTAAGTTTGAATGTAAAACATAAATATTTGCCATTTCCTAGATTTTGGGGAATAAGCCACAATTTAAATTTATAATAAGTTTATTTCTGACGTTTCGATTTCTACTTCGGAAATCTTTCTCAGAATACAGAACATTAATAAATTAATCAAATTTTGTTTTTGGTTACTTGGTAGAAAATTTGGTTAGAAAATTTTTCTGATAACTCTTCTGGGTGATTGATTAGGGTGAGGAAGCTCAGTAGATCTGTTATAGTAAAAATTACAAAAAAAAGTTATTGACAAAAATTGTAGACAGCTTTAAACTCCACTCCATTGCCCCTGATGATGCTGTAGAAAGCGAAAGTACTTTTGCAAGATTTGATTATTAAATTTGTGCTCGATATTTGCTTTAATTTTTCAACGTACATCCTAAAATGTCCATCATATTATCCTTCATTATCCATATTTCACATCCATATAAATAGTTATACAGTATATTTCATCATCATCATCATCATCATCAATGGCGCTACAACTCTTCGTAAGTCTTTGCCGCGGTTACTATTGCCTTCCATGTTTGTCGGTCCTGTGCCAGTAATTCCCATTGTCCCACTCCCATTTTCTCTAGATCTAGGAGTATATTTACATATAACAAATTAAATCCTTAGTTGTAAATTTTTGAAATAAGTACTCAGTATACATCTAAGTTTCATTAATGCTCCTCATAAATCTCATAAATCTAAACTTTTGTACTCTGTTCTTTATTGACAATTATTTGCATAGGGTCGACGTTTACTAACCACAAGCACACAAGTAAATTATCTTATTTCTTTCATTTGACAATAATAATTGTTTGTTAGATTAGCATTGTAAGAAGTAAATTAGTCTCTTATTGAATGATAATAAACAACACATCAAACTTATTCTGAAACTATTTCTTGTGTCATGGTATATTTTATTAGATTTTGGTGTAATAAATCACAACCTATCAAATTTAATATAATCTAATCAAATTTTCTACTAATATAATATAATACCTAATAACTAACAATACTAATCAAATTTTTATGATATATAATAATAATCTTTTTTTTATAATTTTTATTTTCCGTAAACTTTAATCTACGTTAAACTTCAGACAGCCAATTTTTCCGTAAAAAAATAACAAATAAATTATGTATGTACATTTGTTACATTGTAAATTTATGAATAGATTATATTACTTTGATCTGTTATTATATTTACTCAAAACACCACTAAAGAGATTTATGGTCTTATTGTAAGCCAAAACCTGTCACTGCAGGGGTTGTCTCGGTGTATAATCGGCTCGAGTAAAAGGCAAACGCATTTTTGACCTGGGCTGGAGAGAGATACGAAGTTTAGAATATTACTTCATGACAGATTTGTTTTCGTAAAGAAAGAAATTTTTGAAATAGAGATAGCAAACTGAAATTTACCGTTAGGATTTTCGAGGATGAGCCTTAAGATATGGTGCTGCGGCTGGTTGCTTTGGTAATTAAATTTGCAGTTAAAAAATATTTAGTTTTTATTTAGGAATATAACATTAAAGCAGGACATATCTTATGTGCTAAATTTGTGTGCTTTATTTACATTTCACCTTACAGGGACCCTCCCTATTACCGCATGCTTGCATTGATAACTGATGTAGAATAGCTTTTGTAATTACTCTTATTATTGTTAATAATAAAAAAATTTATGAAAACTGAGTTAAATCTAAAATTAACTCAAGTATACCGTTCACAATTTTTAAAATATTTGCATTTCTTCCTTTTTTTTATGTATTTCAAAAATAGAAAACCTAAAATTATAACATTTTTTTTAAATGAGTGTAATTTCATTAGTACATTTGTAATTTATAGGAATATTAATTGCACAACACAACAATTAACAAGGAATCACTTAAAATACTTATACACTGAATCCATTTTCTTCTCCATATTTTCGGCGTCACTATCATCATTTAATTCAATAATAAATTTATTTCCACAATTAATGTGGAAGTGCAAAATCTTTTTATAGTATTCTTTTTTAACTTTGATCACTTTGGCGATCCTTTTCTGCTAGTCTTCTTTGTTAATATTAGTTATTTATTTTTTAATTACCTTCTTATTAAATTTAGGAAATATATTTGCCCGCCTAATAGTTGGCCTTATTTGTCCCAAGTTAACTCTATAGGATTGAACACACAAAAATTTTGGGGAAGTCTCAATATATGCGAACTTTAACAAGTTGTTTTTTTTTGTATAAAAAATTTCGAAATGCAAAACATGTTCCATTAAAAAGCTTTTCAGCTCAGCTTTCTTTGAAGATGTATTTGGCATCTTAGTGACCTGTCGGGAATAGTAGAAAGCATTATCAAGCAGCATTATTAAACCACTCATCAAAAATATCAGCTTATATAATGTTTGTATGTTTGTTACCTATATTTATTATAGTAATTTGTTCTAGGTATATTACATCTGTTGATTATTCTTTGGCTTTCCATAATTGTTTGACGCTTATTTTTTTTTTTAAATTTAAACCCTTTTTCTTTATTCAATGTTGAAGCGTTTCCTCACAGCAGTTCATGTTTTGACCGGTTGTTTCCAATTTCATTCTTATTATTTTAATTTTCGCAAAACAACGCTCTACACTCTACTAACGAACTGCTTCTCAACTAAAATGCTTCGCACAGGTATTAGGTCGATTGTAAAAAAAGAATGGATCAAAAGTCACCACATTTAAAGCGTTACACAATATAATATATTATTACCGCGACTATATTTAATACTAATATTATTATATTGTACAACCTTTTTTATTATTCTACATCTGCGTATACAAATTTGCATGTTCTTTAAATTTTCCTATTAATTCACAGACTCTAGAAAAGGGTCTCCTCGTTTTTCTAGTTTAGTTACTGGTAGATAACGCGGGTCTTCTTCATCCAGTTTTATTATTAAATCTTTGTTTGCAAGAATTTTTTTGAATAAAAATGGGGTTGCGGACGCGGTATATTACATATATTTTTTAAATATGCTTGAATAAGACAGGTTGTTCCAAAATTGAGTTTTTAACGTTATTTAATAATCCATTTATCATTGAAAATTGACCCCTAATATATTTAGCGACTATATTAATACAATGTGAAATTTTGTTTTTGTTACTAGGAAAAAAATTCTAATAATTTAATTTTGTCTGACAATTATTCAAACATATATTATTAGCCCAGTCTGGTTATGCAAAAATCATCGATTTCACGGCAAAATTTTTCGTAGATATCTGAAGCTTTTAAAGCATAAATAGGGATCCCTAGATGACGAATAGATGAGAAGCTACTCCTATTGTTACCTTGCGTTTTTTTTAAACAATTTATGGTCACAATTTGATTTTTTGTCCCTAAGTTTTCCCTTATATTTTACATAAACAATATTTATATCAGTTTTTATATCAAGAATATCCTTATTATCCAGTTTTGTTAAATTAAAATTGATAAATAATTTACGGAGACATTTGCAAAAAAGCAGTTTTTTGCACTAATTTATAAATTTTATTAATTTTTTTATTAACAAAATAAAATGTTATTAACACATT